GAGAGGAGCGGAGCTGGGAGGTTGAGAGAGTGGAGAGTGAGTGAGGAGCGGAGTGAGGAGTGGAGCGGGAGCGGAGAGGATGGAGTGAGTGGGCGGAGTGGAGAGGAGCGGGCGGAACGGAGCAGGAGAGTGGGCGGAGTGGAGGAGGAGGGGGCGGAATGAGAGAGGAGTGGAGAGGAGTAAGTGAGTGGAGGAGTGGAGCTGGAGCGGCGTGGAGTGGAGAGGAGGAGGAGGAGTGGGTGGAGAGGGAGCGGGAGGGAGGGAGTGAGGGAGGGTGGAGGGAAGTGAGGAGCCGGAGCGGGAGTCGAGTGAGGAGTGGAGCGAGGAACAGAGGAGTGGAGTGAGTGGAGCAGGGATTGGAGTGGAGGACTGAGTGAGTAGAGCGGGAATGGAGAGGAGGAGTGGGAGGGAGGAGTAAGGAGCGGGAGGGGGGCAGAATGAGAGACTAAGTGAGGAGTGAGTGATTGGAGAGGGAGCTGAGCGGAGGAGTGAGTGGGGTGGATTGGAGCGGCATGAAATGAGTGGGAGTGACTGGAGTGAGTGAGCGTAGCGGAGGAGCGGAGTGAAGTGGAATGAGGAGTGGAAGTGAGAGGAGCCGGAGTGGAGTGGAGTGAATGGAGCCGGGAGTGGAACGGAGGAGTGAGTGAGTGAGTGGAGCGGGATGGGAGCCGGAGTGACTGGAGTGAGTGGAGCGGAGCGGGGGGGCAGAGTGAGTAAGTGGGAGCGGGAGGGGCGGAATGAGAGACTAAGTGAGTGAGTGAGTGAGTGGAGCACGGAGAGGAGTGAGTGAGTGGAGTGGAGCGGGGCGCGGAAATGAGTGAGGACTGGAGGAGGTGAGTGTAGTGCGAGTGGTGCAGAGTGAAGTGGAATTAGTGAGCGGGAGCAGGGAGCGGGAGGAGTCAATGAGTCAGTGAGCGGAGAGTAGAGGATGATGCGGAATGGAGTGGATTGGAGGGAGGAAGTCGAGTGAGTGAGTGGAGCGGGGAGAGGAGAGAAGTGAGTGAGGTGGAGAGGGAGCAGGGATGGGTGGAGTGGAGTGTGAGGAGTGGAGGGAGCGGAGCTGAGTGAGTGAAAGGACTGACCTCGAGTGAGCGAGCCGGGATGGGATAGAGGAGGAGTGAATGAGTGGAGTGAGTGGAGCGGAGGTAGTGCAAGTGAGTGGAGTGAGTGGGAGCAGGGAACCGAGTGGATGTGGAGTGGAGCCGGAATGAGTGAGTGGGTATGGCGGGTAGCGGAGTGGAGTGGAGTGAAGGGGGAGTGGAGTGAGTGAGTGAGTGGAGCGGAGTGGGAGTGGAGTGGAATGGGAGTGAGTGAGTGGAGGCGGGAGGGGAGCGGAATGAGAGACTGAGTGAGTGAGTGAGTGGAGCCGGGAGGCGGAGAGGAGTGGAGTGAGTGGGTGGAGCGGGGGAGTGGAGGAGTGAGGAGTGTGTGAGCGGAGTGGAGGGAAGAGAAGTGGAGTGAGTGGAGCTGGAGTGAGTGAGGAACGGAGTGGCATGGAGGAAAAAGGAAGGAGTGGAGGATACACACAAAATAGTGGAAGACAGTGGATGGAATGGACACAAGACATGAACCACACAGAAGGCAACAATGAAAGAGAACCACAAAGACACCAGGAACAGAGTATAGACCACACGAGACCCCAACACAGACAGGAAAGGAAGACGGAGAGGACATGGAGGAATGACAAGGAGACACAGACACAGGAAGGAGACAGGACACAGACAACGGACACAAGTGGAACACATGGACCCAGAGGACCCGAACGAAGGACTGATCCAGCCCTGAGGAATGGATGACCACACAAAATATAGACACTGACACAAGGAAATGACACAGAGACACATGGACACAGCACAGCAGGAACAGGGACACACATGACACTTGTAGGAACGCATGGATGACACAGACATGACCACAGTGGGCAGGAAGGAAGGAATGATCAATCCCACAATCATCTTATAATAGTGAGAAGGAAACACAGTGAGCTGATCACACCGAAGGACAGACAGAACACTTTGACATGGCTTAATGACAGACTGACACGACGGAGAAAGAAACAGTGAGGCCCCACAGGACACACACAGACACACGAAGGAACTTGAATGACAGAGGAAAGACAACTGAGGAATCACACGGACCGAGTCCACACTGCATATGGACAACTTTAACTGACTGTGGAACTCAGGACTGGAACATATGGATACACAGCCCAGGACAGTGAAGAAAATGAGTCACACAGCCAACAGTATCACGATGTAAAGATAACTGACACAGCACAGACATGGAGGGAATCACACACAGACACAGGAAGGACACAAGAAATGACCAGACCATGAAAGGAGACAAACCCCAACATCACATGGAGACACCAGAAATGGCCCACACACAAAATGTTTGAACTTGCCCAGTGGACACACACAGAAAGAGTGACGGACAGACACTTGTACTTGTGTGGTAAAGGGGTAAAGGAGGACAAGATATGGAATAATGGACACACACAGGACCAGAAAAATGGACACATTATGGACTTAATAGTAATATAGAAAGAGCCAGAGAACGATCCAGGTGGAAAGAAGGAATGGAATAAAAGAGTGAAGGAAAGAATACAGAAAGAGCCATGATATGGAGGAACGCAGGAGTGCATGAAGGTTGGTGGATAATAGAAAGAATGGAATAGTGGACATGGAAGAAATAAACAGCAGGACTTAAATATTTATAATTATCAAAATGTATATGTTGCAACGACAGGTATAATGTGGCGACACTACTGTAAACAGTGTTAAATGTACACATGCAGGCATTGCATAAAATGGACCAGTTAATTCTGTAACGTTTAATATATGTTCATCCCCATTCTGTATGGCAATATGTAACAATGTACACAAGTCACGATAGGCCATCTTGTCCAGCTGCAAGTCGATAATTACTTTCTCATGTTTCCGATGTGACAAAGATAAGCATATTGTCATTGTATTGATTGGGGCCATCCATGCAGCCTGCGTGCCAGCTACACGTACTTGATAATTAACCCTGTCACAATACAGGTGTGCTTGAAGTAGATGACACTAGCTCGTATGTTCTTGTAAAATAATCGTTCCCAGCGACAAAGTCGAGGAAGTGGGAATGCGACAAGCGAAGCCTTCGTGACCAATATCTTGTGAAAAGATCACGTTACTTCTTTGACTACAGATTCATAAAGCATACCACCTTCTCTTTGCGCTAATATGCCGGAGACCGGGCTAGGGAGCTTTTATCAAATACCCTTCCTGTCACAAAACAAGTGAAGAAGAGAGAAGATGAGTCAAGCAGAGACAGTTTGGGGAGTTGCGTGCGAGGTCAGCTTCATGCCAACCTACAAGTGTCACTAAGATAAGTAGTCAGCCAGATGGACTCATGAACATTGATCATGCGACAACCTGTGCAGTTGTGGACGGCAGTAGTGGAAGGATTCACGATATGTCACGTGCATGCACACCTCTTGTTGTCATTAACGGTAGGCATTCTGTCCTTGTTGATTCTGGGCACTTTAAAAGACAGAATCTGGAAATAACACACTCCTCCATGCTTAAAGTGCCGGACCCTTCTCGTCACCGGGTCCCCAAAACACGAAAGGCTCATGGCATCCAGAGACGGTCATGCTCCAAGGAGGAAAACAGTTTGTCGGATGTGTCGCGTCGCGAGGCAGGTTCTACCTCAAAGTCAGTCATCATCTTTGGTGTGTTTCTCTGTGTGTTGTCGGTGTGCAGTAATATATCTCTGATTACGTTCACTTCAAAACACCATATCGACCTTCAACTGAGAATGTTTGTCCATGTCCAATCTGCGTCAGATATTGGCATTGTGATAACTAATGTGTGCATCCTGTTATGGATTAGCTGGGAAAGGTACAACAAAGATCGTTCAAGGGACACCACAACGTCACCACACTCAGCTGACGGATAATGAACTGCAACCTGTCTCATACCGTAAACGTGCCAACGGAGGGATATCATTTAAACGTTCGGAAGAGTAAGTCATTTCAGACTGTATACCGAGGCAAGGAAGGAGCGAGTTCCGTCTGATAGTATAACAACACAGGGGAACAGTGCTTTCTTTCTCATAGAATACCAAACCAGGGTCACAATGTGATATTTCTTACATCCACCAGATAGACACCACGCTGGCTTGTCTGTGACCTAGGTTTGTCATATATTCGGACTGAGAAGATTACATGTGATAGATATTGGTTACTTGTAGGATTTAACTGCTACTGACCGACCACTTCATGTCATTTCAACACCTGAAGAAGTATTTTCGTTCTTAGTTACGGAGATAGTTCTCCCAATCTATCATGTAAATCCATATTTTGTTCATAGTTCACACTTCTCGAATAAATGCATCACATTGTCATCTTTATAATATTATTTTCTGTATTGTGTACCACAGAGAGTTTTGTATGGCTAAATATAGAGCATTATGTCATATTCCTTATCAACGGAGAGGCTTGTTTTCACTTGTACCACACGTGCAACTATCCTCGTTCTTTAATAATCTCGATATTCAGTGACTCATTTTTCAAATGACGATTACTGGAGACATATATATTTTCAATGTCATCTTATTTACTGTATGCGAGGCTTGAAGTTATATGCAGAGATCAAGAGTTGCACATATTCTCTCAGATCTTCTCAAAATTACCGTTTTAACATAACTGGAAAGAAAAATGAATAGTTTGACGAATTACCGTTTTAGGCTTTCGAGTCTTGCTATTTCAATCGCGAAAACATATGTTGACATATATTAATCAAAGTGCTTTAGTTAGTTTAGGTTGTACTTATGAAACAGTTGGTTTAGCAACAGTGCATATGCGCAATGATTGTCTCTATTCCGAGCTTTGACATGCCAAGGCCTGGCCTACTCGTCCTCGTCATCTCTCGTCATCTCTCTCTGGAGATGTTGTGTGAAGTAATTTTAAGAGAAATAATGTTGAATGTTAAGAAATAAATGTTTCAAACATTTTCTGCTGGGTGGATATATTTTATTTGGATCATGCTGTGTTGGGTCAGTTCTCAGGTGTAAAGGCTGCCGATGTGGTCGATGTGTAGCCACCAGCTGTTACTCCTGAGACAAATAGTACAACCGTATTCACTCCAGTTACAATAGCTCCATCATTATTAGCGAGAAACATTGTTTTCATAAAGTTACATTTTCTAATTATCACCTTAATGTGAAAGGTTGCAATAGTTCAATCAATCAATCAATCAATCAATCAATCAATCAATGTATATATATATATGAAATGCACAAAATATTGCAAAAACACGAATTTCCCTCCTACGCGTTCCAGCTTCATCTTTTGGGAAGAAGTTAACTTCTCCTGATCGTGAAGAGACTTATATTCTAAACATACAGATAACAATCTGCCAAACGTGAAGATAGTTATATTCTAAACATACAGATAACTATCAAAGACCCCTCAAGAGAAAGTTGAAACGCGTATGATGGAAATTCGTGCTGTCATTATTTTGTGGATTTATTGAAATATGAAACCCGTGAAGGTCCGGGTTAGAATGAACCATCAGTAACCCATGCTTGTCGTAAGAGGCGACTAACGGGATCGGGTGGTCAGGCTATAGGCTTGGTTGACACATGTCATCGGTTCCCAATTGCGCAGATCGATGCTCATGCTGTTGATCCCTGGATTGTCTGGTCCAGACTCGATTATTTACAGACCGCCTCCATATAACTGGAATATTGCTAAATGGAATATTGGAATATTGAGTGCGGCGTAAAACTATACTCACTCACTGTATATATGAACTTCTGTACACTGCTGAACTTTACCCCTTTATATAAAATATTATGTAATTGATAAAAGTAGAAATAGAACAATTGGACTTGAAAGCTCCTATGAGCACTCACAACTCAACTTACAACTGAAGATAAATGACTCACCTATAATCTTATTAGGACAAAGTTCTACCTCACAACACTCAAACGGAACCTTTTCCCAGTGACATCCGTCCGCCATGTCTTCTGTTTCATGCTTTGGGCAGCTGTGTATTTACAAAAAAAATGGAATTAAAGCAGCCGTGCGAGGAGCCATGTCAATGTTTGCTACGCATACAGACATGCATACACTTATCAGTCTCGCACACAAATACCTGCCAAGAAAACAGATAACAATCTGCCTAACTCGAAGACAGCTATATTCAAGACACACAGATAACAATCTGCCTAACGTGAAGACAGCCATATTCAAGACACAAAGATAACAATCTGCCTAACGTGAAGACAGCCATATTAAAAAAACACAGATAACAATCTGCCTAACGTGAAGACAGCCATATTCAAGACACAAAGATAACAATCTGCCTAACGTGAAGACAGCCATATTCAAGACACAAAGATAACAATCTGCCTAACGTGAAGACAGCCATATTAAAAAAACACAGATAACAATCTGCCTAACGTGAAGACAGCCATATTCAAGACACAAAGATAACAATCTGCCTAACGTGAAGACAGCCATATTCAAGACACACAGATAACAATCTGCCTAACGTGAAGATAACCATATTCAAGACACACAGATAACAATCTGCCTAACGTGAAGATAACCATATTCAAGACACACAGATAACAATCTGCCTAACGTGAAGACAGCCATATTCAAGACACACAGATAACAATCTGCCTAACGTGAAGATAACCATATTCCAAAGACACAGATAACAATTTGCCTAAGATTTCTATATTCCAGAATACAGCCAAAATCAGCCAAACCTGAACACAAGTATCTGCCAAATATGGAGAGATTCTGTTTTATGATCGTGATAATTAAACTCATTTTATGTATGTTTTTAAAGTGATGCGATGATTACTAACTGAATAGTAAACACTTTCCCGTACACATAACATTGGTCATTTATCATAGACTAGTGTGATTAAAGCGAAAAAGGTATTAGATATAAACTACTGTTGAAAATGCAAGAAACATTCAGAATCTTGTCTGGCTTCACTTAATAAGTACCGAGTATGGGTCTAAAACAATGGCTTAAGTTTGCTTTTTCGATTACTAAAGCAAATGTCCCTTATCTAGCCAAGCCTACTGACACTGGGAACACTGTAAACATAGGATTGAACTCACAATGTCGGACTTTCGCACGTGAGACAACGTGTTGTCGCGACATTTGTCTCGTACTTTACAGGTTTCTTATTCTGGCGAATTTTCTCCATAAGTTGAAAATTTGTTTCAGATGGTTCGAAGTCAACACAGTAAGGAGTCAGATGTTCGAGCATGGTTGAGGTCAGAATATTCATGGCTGGCGTTACAATGTCTGGCGTCTGGTAAATGAAACCAGAGAAGCATTTCCACTTGTACTTTAATACCATTTGATTGTAGTTAGCCCTCCAAACTATCACCACAGGATGTGCCGAGCAACAAATATTGCAAGTGACACTTTATGTTCAACTTGTTATTGGCCACGTAACGACCAATGTACAGAAACCCGTATTAACGAAGATGTTCAGTAAATCAGTACTTACTATTCTGTACACGTAAAAAAGTTGTTGCTGGCGTCGACACATGTGCACTTATAGTCACAGCCGTCATCCCATGTCTGGCCGTCGTGGTACGTCACGTTTTTGTATGTGCAGCCGTGACTGTGAGTGTTCTTTGAAGTGTCTGTGCAACACACATGTAAATACATAAACCACTTGACCAACACACATGTAAATACATAAACCACTTGACCAACATACATGTAAATACATAAACCACTTGACCAACATACATGTAAATACATAAACCACTTGACCAACATACATGTAAATACATTAACCACTTGACCAACATACATGTAAATACATAAACCACTTGACCAACACACATGTAAATACATAAACCACTTGAACAACATACATGTAAATAAATAAACCACTTGACCAACACACATGTAAATAAATAAACCACTTGACCAACATACATGTAAATACATAAACCACTTGACCAACACATAGGCAAATACGTAAACCACTTGACCAACATACATGTAAATACATAAACCACTTGACCAACATACATGTAAATACGTAAACCACTTGACCAACACACATGTAAATACATAAACCACTTGACCAACATACATGTAAATACATAAACCACTTGACCAACACACATGTAAATAAATAAACCACTTGACCAACATACATGTAAATACATAAACCACTTGACCAACACACAGGTAAATACATAAACCACTTGACCAACATACATGTAAATACATAAACCACTTGACCAACATACATGTAAATACGTAAACCACTTGACCAACATACATGTACATACATAAACCAATTGACCAACATACATGTAAATACGTAAACCACTTGACCAACACACATGTATATACGTAAACCACTTGACCAACATACATGTAAATACGTAAAACCATTTGACCAACACACATGTAAATACATAAACCACTTGACCAACATACATGAAAATACGTAAACCACTTGACCAAGATACATGTAAATACGTAAACCACTTGACCAACATACATGTAAATACGTAAAACCACTTGACCAACACACGTGTAAATACGTAAACCACTTGACCAACATACATGTAAATACGTAAACCACTTGACCAACATACATGTAAATACGTAAACCACTTGACCAACATACATGTAAATACGTAAACCACTTGACCAATATACATGTAAATACATAAACCACTTGATCAACATACATGTAAATACGTAAACCACTTGACCAATACATATGTAAATACGTAAACCACTTGACCAACATACATGTAAATACGTAAACCACTTGACCAACACACATGTAAATACATGAACCACTTGACCAACACACATGTAAATACATGAACCACTTGACCAACACACATGTAAATACGTAAACCACTTGACCAACATACATGTAAATACGTAAACCACTTGATCAACATACATATAAATACATGAAACCACTTGACCAACATACATGTAAATACACTTGAAACCACTTGACCAACATACATGTAAATACGTAAACCACTTGACCAACACACATGTAAATACTTGACCAACATACATGTAAATACGTAAACCATACATGTAAATACGTAAACCACTTGACCAACACACATGTAAATACATAAACCACTTGACCAACACACATGTAAATACGTAAACCACTTGACCAACACACATGTAAATACGTAAACCACTTGACCAACATACATGTAAATACGTAAACCACTTGACCAACATACATAAATGTAACCATGACCAACACATGTAAATACGTAAAACCACTTGACCAACACACATGTAAATACATAAACCACTTGACCAACATACATGTAAATACGTAAACCACTTGACCAACACATATGTAAATACGTAAACCACTTGACCAACATACATGTAAATAAATAAACCACTTGACCAACACACATGTAAATACATAAACCACTTGACCAACATACATGTAAATACGTAAACCACTTGACCAACACACATGTAAATACGTAAACCAGTTGACCAACACACATATAGATACGTAAACCATTTGACCAACACACATGTAAATACATAAACCACTTGACCAACATACATGTAAATACATAAACCACTTGACCAACATACATGTAAATACATAAACCACTTGACCAACATACATGTAAATACGTAAACCACTTGACCAACACACATGTAAATACGTAAACCACTTGACCAACATACATGTAAATACATAAACCACTTGACAAACATACATGTAAATACGTAAACCACTTGACCAACATACATGTAAATACATAAACCACTTGACAAACATACATGTAAATACGTAAACCACTTGACCAACATACATGTAAATACGTAAACCACTTGACCAACACACATGTAAATACATGAACCACTTGACCAACACACATGTAAATACGTAAACCACTTGACCAACATACATGTAAATACGTAAACCACTTGATCAACATACATGTAAATACATAAACCACTTGACCAACATACATGTAAATACGTAAACCACTTGACCAACACACATGTAAATACGTAAACCACTTGACCAACATACATGTAAATACGTAAACCACTTGACCAACATACATGTAAATACGTAAACCACTTGACCAACATACATGTAAATACGTAAACCACTTGACCAACACATATGTAAATACGTAAACCACTTGACCAACATACATGTAAATAAATAAACCACTTGACCAACACACATGTAAATACATGAACCACTTGACTAACACACATGTAAATACGTAAACCACTTGACCAACATACATGGAAATACGTAAACCACTTGACCAACATACATGTAAATACGTAAACCACTTGACCAACATACATGTAAATACATAAACCACTTGACTAACACATATGTAAATACGTAAACCACTTGACCAACATACATATAAATAAATAAACCACTTGACCAACACACATGTAAATACATAAACCACTTGACCAACATACATGTAAATACGTAAACCACTTGACCAATACACATGTAAATACGTAAACCAGTTGACCAACACACATATAAATACGTAAACCATTTGACCAACACACATGTAAATACGTAAACCACTTGACCAACATACATGTAAATACATAAACCACTTGACCAACACACATGTAAATACGTAAACCACTTGACCAGCAAACCTGTAAATACATAAACCACTTGACCAAAACACATGTAAATACGTAAACCACTTGACCAACATACCTGTAAATACATAAACCACTTGACCAACACACATGTGAATACGTAAACCACTTGACCAACACATATGTAAGTATGTAAACCACTTGATAAAAGATTCGTACAATCAAAACGCATGGTAGCCTGGTGTGAAAGTCATCAAATCATTCGATCAACTCAAAAAACATTCTATAACCATCCTGGAAACATGCTCTGTTAGAACATAGGTAAGCTTTTGCAAAGGCAAGCTATCTGTGTGCCATCTTTCATACCTTACTAATCGGTCATTCGGGGAACAGCCTTTACATGCGTTAACTAAAGTAGAACCTGTCACGACGAACAATGTGTAGGAACTTTTGGAGTCTTCAGTTATTGTCTTAAATTGTTTTCAACGCGTATATATGTATACGTAACGCATTGTAATCAATATGAGCGAAATATTCTCAAGCACGACGTTAAACCCAATTTCAATTTCAATTTTGTAATCAATATTATTGTCCATTCACTGAAATGAATTCAAGATCTATTGATGGTGACAAAGGCATTCAGGAGTGTGGTATTCAAAACTCCGTACCACCAATGTCTGTCGTGTTATTCAAACCAAAACATGAGTCTCATTGACCTATTCAGACAATGACCTACTTTTCAGCCGATCCGAAATTTCTCGTGTGAAAGTGAAATGAGACACCACAAATAAAACTAAGGTTACACTTAATTCCAATTCCTTGTTTAATAAGAAAATGGTATTTACAAGTTAATTTTAATTTTAAACTTCAATAACATCGTATTTCTATATTTTAGGGCGAGGTGCAGGCAGTATGACATAAACTAAGGCGTCACAGACTGCCCCTGTTTGATGAGGTCGTTACACCTGTTATGTGTTCTTTGCGCTTATTCAGTGTAGTTTTGTAACGCACAATGTGATTGATGTAATATCAAGTCCGTACCAGACCGCCAAACGTTTCTAGCGGCAGAGCCACGATTTCCAGATTTCCGGTTGTCAGAGCACGTTGTACGACAAAGCACGCTGCACGACGTGTTTGCAAAGATTTGAAGGAGCGTAGTGTTGCAATATACAAGTGGTTAGATGTATAAAATAATACTGATTAATATTTATGTATCCAGTTGAATGAATTGGTCTCAAAATTCTGGACTGGTTAGTGTACGAAGTTGCGCAATAAGACGGAACACAGTCAGCAGGAAACGAGACTGTTGTGCAATCAATGTTTTGACTTGACTTACTGGCCAAGGAAAGAGTACAATTACCAATGAACTGTCACTAAAAAAATTCAAAACCCCTTTCACCCATTTCACCCATTTTGAAAACTTAACTTTTCTGAAACCAACATGCAAGAACCATCAGCACGCGCAGCCATCTCCAGGCTGTTTTAAGGTTACAAACTGGCAGTACACAGGACAGGACAACCTCAGCGCTACGACAGTCGTAAGTCTAGGTTAAGGAATGGGAGTTACGATCACCTTAGCCCTATGATCGCTTTGTACAACGGCACCCTGGACAGTAAACGCTGGCACATCCGTGACACAAATGTAAGCCTGTTTTCAGTAAGTGAATAGAGGTACATATGGTTGGGTTCATGCGATGGTTTCTGAAAAAGTTGTTTCAACTTATGGAGGGAACCTGTCCTTATACATTGCCAGCCCTGATAAGTTGTTTATTGTTACATATGCATACATATACATGCATATGGTTGTCATTTGCAGGTTTTTATAAGTTTGGATAAGTAAAATACCTGATAAGTAAACAATTTTGGCGAGTCCCTTGAAATTTTACTAATCAGGTTTCCACTGTACTTTGCAGACTTGGCAGGGATGACGTACTTCAACCCATCGTTCCCACACTACAGGGGTTATCACGGGTTTCTTGGCTGAGCACCACGTCGCCATTCTTCCATGGCCAACACGCTCACCAGACCCCATTATACACTCATTTTATCATCAGCATCGTCAGAACAGTAGGTGTCCCAATCCACAGCCGACCAGCCAACACGTGAACGCCGAAGGACGACATCGGACTGCTGACGACGTTGATGAGCGGTCGAATCTTAGCTTATTATTCACTATTGAGAATGTCGGGTGCCTGTGAACCAACTTAAACTGAGTATGACAACAGCTGCTTCTATGTGCTCATTCCTTTGTACTGTGAAATGACGACCGCCTTATGTTCCTTCTGAGATAATGATTGACATGATGGCTGTGATATCGCCTGAAATAATCATAACATCACCGTCGAATAACCACCCTTTATCACTTCTATTTACAGCCACCATCAAACATAGAAGATGGTTATAATTATAATTATTATGAGAGAAACCATAAGACGTACATTAAAGTACATTTTGTGGCATATCAGTTCAGTAAAAATCAAACATCACATATGTATGGAAAGAGAAATATTAGTCATCAATCACAGTAAAGTTAACACAAGTAATCACTGACTTACCACAATACCCACATGTCGCTTGGCAGTACGCTCTAGCCCAGAGCCCATTGTTTCTACTGCACATATCTGCACCATACGAAGAGCAGGTGCCAAGCTTATCAAAACATTCGCCTTTAAAGTTATCTGAAAGATACAACAAACAACCATATTTGTTTCATATCACTTGTAGGATTCGCTTTCACTGTCTGTTTGTCTCTCCTTTTTTCTTTTTTTCCATTCATTTAGAGTATTAATGTGGATCCTGGCGGCCGCCGATTCTATTGATCTGGTGAGTCGTCGCAGACTGGGTTCATACCGATGTACTTGGTGGCTTCCTACATGTTTTACCTCCACTTCTGTCATATGGCCAATTTTGTATAATTTATTATATACGAATAAATATATTTATTTATTTCCTCCCGTTGGTTGGATTTTGAGAATAAACTGTTCTGTTCTAACTGCTCACCAAGAACAATATGTGAATGACCCATAGAGTCAAGTCGTATAACTTACAAGGTGTGTGTTTAAAGTGAGTCCGAAGCTCCAGCAGAACAAATATGACGATGTACCAAGATGTTTGACTGACTGACTGACTGAGTTTGGTTTTACGCCGCTTTTAGCAATATTCCAGCAACATCACGGCGGGGGACACCAGAAATGGGCTTCACACATTGTACCCATGTGGGGATTCGAACCCGGGTCTTCGGCGTGACGAGCCAACGCTTTAACCACTAGGCTACCCCACCGCCCCACCAAGACGTTTGAAAGGTGGGTGTTTAAAGTGAGTCCGAAACTCAAGCAGAACAAATACGGCGATGTACCAAGATGCTTGAAACTAAATCCAAGAACATGACAATCTACTTGGGCGTTAGAGGTTCTCAAATAGGGCTGTGCAATATTACCGGTAAACCGGTATATACTGGTACAGTATCTGGCGATACGATTATCGCGATTCTGCAATATATTGGGTCATCCACTGTTAGCTTCCTTTGAATTATCTGCCCTTGATTTCCTTGGCAAAAACAATGTGCTCTAAAAGTGCCAAATACACTTTAATTTCTGTTGGTTTCATGTATAATTTTTCAAGTGGAAGTGTCTTTACAAGTGGCTCCAAAGTACCAAATATTCTACCAAATGCTTTACGTTTTGTGATTTTGAATGGTTTCATTTGGATGGTTTCATACAGAAACAATAATTGCACGCTGCATTGAAGTGCATTCTGTGGAAGCAAACAACACTGAAAATCATGTTTATATTGGCGTTGTATCTCAATGAATCACTGACATACAGAAACAATAATTACACGCTGCACTGAAGTGCATTCTGTTGAAGCAAACAACTCTGAAAATCATGTTTATATTGGCGTTGTATCTCAATGAATCACTGACATACAGAAACAATAATTACACGTTGCATTGCAGTACATTCTGTTGAAGCAAACAACACTGAAAATCATGTTTATATTGGCGTTGTATCTCAATTAATCACTGACATACAGAAACAATAATTACACGCTGCATTGAAGTCATTCTGTGGAAGCAAACAACACTGAAAATCATGTTTATATTGGCGTTGTATCTCATTGGGCCTACCTTTAGAATACAGCACCACAAACTTTAAAAATACGTCATAATACCCTTTTACGTAATGTAATGTGATTTTGTTCGAAAGCACGTTCTCGAAACAATGCCCGGTTGTCTAGCTCAGCGAGTGCGTATAAGCTTCGCTCACTGGTGTTTCATCTCTACGAGCTATGTCATTGCATAAGCCCAACGATGGTGAGAGTTTCCAGCAGTTGTATACCGGCGGATGCGCAATATTTTGCAAGCACCAGTTTGAAATATTTTTCTTTTTTCACTAATACGCTCATATTTATTTGTATTACGGGGTGCTGAGGTGTTTTGTTTTGTGTATTATTGTATTTTGTGTTTTTTAACTTTACACATATATTTTTGTCATTCAGTTATTTGCATCATTACATAGAAAAGTTTTTTATTAGTATTTTATTTTTCGAAGCGGTAATAATGCATTACACTGGACGCGTCAGTCATGTTCGTGCTGGTTCGGTCAATGCATTCTATTTATTAGTATTAATTCAAGGGGTTAGGGTTAGGGATAGGGCTAGGGTTAGGGTTTAGGGTTTAGGGTTAGGGCTTAGGGTTTAGGGTTTGGGGTTTAGGGTTAGGGTTAGTGACATAATCCAATATAGTAGATACATGTTCGGTGTAATACGTGAGTACCATTTGTTGTTTTTCCTTTTGCATTTTAATACTGCCGGTTCGGTCAATGCATTCTATTTATTATGATTATTTCAAGGGATTAGGGTTAGGGTTAGGGCTGAGGGTTTAGGGTTTATGGTTAGGGACCTAATCCAATATAGTAGGTACATGTCCGGTGTAATACGTAAGTACCATTTGTTGTTTTTCCTTTTGCATTTTAATACTTTTTTTCACACAAAAACGGGAAACAAAAGCGTCGAAAGTACACTATGAAATGGTTTAATGTAGAAATTTGGGCTAATGGAAATTGGCCTGAAATTTGCACTCAAGCCTCTTTCACACGCAACATTTGTTCAGTAATGATTCGAAGGCTAACTCACCCTCGTGCCGTCACTACACATGCTCATGTCTCCCTCGTTCCTTAGTGCGATCCATATTATCCTAACAGTGTTCCCTACATCACTTTTCTGTCACAAAATCACCGATTTATATAAAAGCGCGTCATTCATGCATGCACCGTGAATCTACGTCTGACGCCTGACGTCAACAACCCTTTTCAGTTTGAGGCATATCGTGTCATTCCACGCCACACGTTATCTTGTAGATTACGGAATGGGACGAGTGTGCCAAATGGCATCAGGTCCATTCGGCAATTGTCCGTAGATTAAAATCACGAGACACCAAGTCTACCCGTAACCTTCGTAATTGTCCGTGACCTATTCGACTCTTTCCGTTCATTTCCGTGACGTCACAGGAATGACTCGATAAATGTGCACATTGGGCAACAGTGTGGACGTAGCTCAGTCGGTTTGCGGTCGAGCTAACAATCCGAAGGTCGCGAGTTTGCGTCCGACGGGTTCTCACAAACTGGTTGCTTGTTTTAATGACACGTGACCTACGGCAGAGATCATCCTCACAAGAAGTTGTGGTGCTGTATTCTAAAGGTGCCTACCTTTAGAATACAGCACCACAAACTTTAATAATAATTGCAGGCTGCATTGAAGTGCATTCTGTGGAAGCAAACAACACTGAAAATCATGTTTATATAGGCGTTGTATCTCAATGAATCACTGACATACAGAAACAATAATTACACGCTGCACTGAAGTGCATTCTGTTGAAGCAAACAACACTGAAAATCATGTTTATACTGGCGTTGTATCTCAATAAATCACTGACATACAGAAACAATAATTACACGCTGCATTGCAGTACATTCTGTTGAAGCAAACAACACTGAAAATCATGTTTATATTGGCGTTGTATCTCAATTAATCACTGACATACAGAAACAATAATTACACGCTGCATTGAAGTCATTCTGTTGAAGCAAACAACACTGAAAATCATGTTATACTATTACGTTTATCATTATATTCTCAAACCTTTGTTGTAATGCTTCAGTGAAACATTCCACGTTGAGCCTCTACATCATTGTATTCTCAAACCTTTGTTGTAATGCTTCAGTGAAACATTCTACGTTGAGCCTCTACATCATTGTATTCTCAAACCTTTGTTGTAATGCTTCAGTGAAACATTCCACGTTGAGCCTCTACATCATTGTATTCTCAAACCTTTGTTGTAATGCTTCAGTGAAACATTCCACGTTGAGCCTCTACATCATTGTATTCTCAAACCTTTGTTGTAATGCTTCAGTGAAACATTCTACGTTGAGCCTCTACACATCATTGTATTCTCAAACCTTTGTTGTAATGCTTCAGTGAAACATTCCACGTTGAGCCTCTACATCATTGTATTCTCAAACCTTTGTTGTAATGCTTCAGTGAAACATTCTACGTTGAGCCTCTACATCATTGTATTCTCAAACCTTTGTTGTAATGCTTCAGTGAAACATTCTACGTTGAGCCTCTACATCATTGTATTCTCAAACCTTTGTTGTAATGCTTCAGTGAAACATTCTACGTTGAGCCTCTACATCATTGTATTCTCAAACCTTTGTTGTAATGCTTCAATGAAACATTCTACGTTGAGCCTCTATATCATTGTATTCTCAAACCTTTGTTGTAACGCTTCAGTGAAACATTCTACGTTGAGCCTCTATATCATTGTATTCTCAAACCTTTGTTGTAATGCTTCAGTGAAACATTCCACGTTGAGCCTCTACATCATTGTATTCTCAAACCTTTGTTGTAATGCTTCAGTGAAACATTCTACGTTGAGCCTCTACATCATTGTATTCTCAAACCTTTGTTGTAATGCTTCAGTGAAACATTCCACGTTGAGCCTCTACATCATTGTATTCTCAAACCTTTGTTGTAATGCTTCAGTGAAACATTCCACGTTGAGCCTCTACATCATTGTATTCTCAAACCTTTGTTGTAATGCTTCAGTGAAACATTCCACGTTGAGCCTCTACATCATTGTATTCTCAAACCTTTGTTGTAATGCTTCAGTGAAACATTCTACGTTGAGCCTCTACATCATTGTATTCTCAAACCTTTGTTGTAATGCTTCAGTGAAACATTCCACGTTGAGCCTCTACATCATTGTATTCTCAAACCTTTGTTGTAATGCTTCAGTGAAACATTCTACGTTGAGCCTCTACATCATTGTATTCTCAAACCTTTGTTGTAATGCTTCAGTGAAACATTCCACGTTGAGCCTCTACATCATTGTATTCTCAAACCTTTGTTGTAATGCTTCAGTGAAACATTCTACGTTGAGCCTCTACATCATTGTATTGAAACTCAAACCTTTGTTGCTTACATCATTGCTTTTGTTTAATGCTTTCAGTGAAACATTCCACGTTGAGCCTCTACATCATTGTATTCTCAAACCTTTGTTGTAATGCTTCAGTGAAACATTCTACGTTGAGCCTCTACATCATTGTATTCTCAAACCTTTGTTGTAATGCTTCAGTGAAACATTCCACGTTGAGCCTCTACATCATTGTATTCTCAAACCTTTGTTGTAATGCTTCAGTGAAACATTCCACGTTGAGCCTCTACATCATTGTATTCTCAAACCTTTGTTGTAATGCTTCAGTGAAACGCTGAGCCTCTACATCATTGTATTCTCAAACGTAATGAGAAACATTCCACCTCTACATCATTGTATTCTCAAACCTTTGTTGTAATCAGCTTCAGTGAAACATTCCACGTTGAGCCTCTACATCATTGTATTCTCAAACCTTTGTTGTAATGCTTCAGTGAAACAAACGTTGAGCCTCTACATCATTGTATTCTCAAACGTTGTAATGTATTTCAGTGATGCTTTCAACATTCTACGTTGAGCCTCTACATCATTGTATTCTCAAATTGTATTCTTAAACCTTTGTATTCTCAAACCTTGTTGTAATGCTTCAGTGAAACATTCTACGTTGAGCCTCTACATAATTGTATTCTCAAAGCTTTGTTGTAATGCTTCAATGAAACATTCTACGTTGAGCCTCTACATCATTGTATTCTCAAACCTTTGTTGTAATGCTTCAGTGAAACATTCCACGTTGAGCCTCTACATCATTGTATTCTCAAACCTTTGTTGTAATGCTTCAATGAAACATTCTACGTTGAGCCTCTACATCATTGTATTCTCAAACCTTTGTTGTAATGCTTCAGTGAAACATTCCACGTTGAGCCTCTACATCATTGTATTCTCAAACCTTTGTTGTAATGCTTCAATGAAACATTCTACGTTGAGCCTCTATATCATGGTATTTATCTGTAAACCATTGGCATACAGCCATACGCAATGGAGACGGGGAGCCTGAAGGTATGGTGTAACAGCAACTAAAAAATGATGTGGGCAAACAGAGAGCTTTTATGAATTTATGATGTAAGCACTTGGCCAGAAACCTTCTAGTCAATATATCATAATATGTATTGCAATATCTCTTAAATTATTGCTATATATCGCAATATGAAAGTCAGATATATCAAATTAGATATATCATGTAACGGGCCGCGGTGAGTTACTTCACAAGGAGCCGCAACATTATGTAATGTTTGTGCCATGCAATATGTACAGGAAGAACAGTAGTAAGGGTATCGATAGACGATTGTAATTACCATTGAGAATGAACGCCTGACTCGTCATCGCCGACACAAGCAGCAGATTGAGAGTAGAACCTGCAACACACGGTGTATATATAGAACCACGGCACGAACTAAACGACGTGAGGTGGAAGACAATAAGTATCAACCCCGAGACATATAAAACTTCAGGAAGACTGCCAGTATGAAAAACACAACACTCACCTGTTGGAAACAGCATTGCCTCATGTACCAAACGAATCGCAGTCAACAATTAAGTATATGAATATACATAACAGACATACAATTATCTCTATATATACATGTACGTGATCTTTTATCTATTTAGCAACCCACGCAGGTATAGACTTGGTGACCACGGCTTACACGAATATAACTACATAGCACACAAATACTTGAATAACATTGCTCGTGTTAGAAACACTTCATCAGGTATTTATTATGTAGTCAATATGCATAATATAATCTTTGAACATTTACGAAGGAATTATGGAGAGACTGTGTATCTTAAGTACTAAGTTAAATAAAAAGCAAATAAAAGAAAAGCTAGTCTATATCTGCTAGAGTAACACAGCTGGTGATTCACATCTCACTTACTGGCATTGCAATACTTTATAACAATAACTTAGAATGTTTGGCCATACAGGAATACGCTAGATACTATCTATGGCCATCTCACGTCTTTTAGTTCGTGCTGTCTTGCAGAGACTTGGATGGTGTCGCGCGATGATATGTTTGATTTATTACCTAAGTATACATGCTTTCAGTGTATTAGACCTACAAACACGAATCGCCATAGTGGTTACATTGCAGTATTTGTCCAGGATTTGTGATTCGTGGATGGATAATGTATTTAGACATAAGACGTGCTAAACATGGTAAGTAAATAACAGTATACAGCAGCAGAAAACATCAATTATAAGGAGGAATACCCTTATTGCGGATTCATGTTGTGTGGTGTTATTAATCCACATGTACCTATCGATGAAGTTCGACAGGTGTTCATGGACCACTTGGGCACAAGAGGGAAGATATTGTAATGAAAGGTAACGGTAAATATGTTTTTGCACTGTGTATAGAACTTTTAACCTTTGTACCGACAGACCGATTCTCTGACAGTGACGATTTTACGTTTCGTTGCAAAGACAATAAACACCTGCTAACATCTGGGAACCCGAAACTATGCGTTAGTACTGCAGGGTCATTATACAAACCCTTTTGTTAGCTCAAAGATATCGATAACAAGAAAATATGATCATACACAACTGGAGCAGCCAAACGAAACTGCCAACAAAGTAGATGATCAAAGACGCCATGATACCAGCATATCATCAGAAGACATACTTTAAAACACCTTAAATGCCTAACCCTTTAATACGTAACAGATGATCATTTCAAACCAGCTGACAACATATTTGCTAACCCATGACTGTTGTAGCTGCTTCAAACCGCAATTGTCTACAGGTACAACAACTTCCACCACCCGTCCACACTTGTACATGGAAGTGTGCGCTCACGCACACGCACACGCACACTTCAAACATATAAGAAAAGCGAAAAGACGTAACGTATCCACCCTCGCGCACCTGTAGCATATGTTATTTGTGATGGTACACTTTCCCGGATGGATCTCGACTCAGTTCAAAACTTTATGAAGATGTCTACCTGGTATATCAACGTATATATATAATTTTAACCTCTCCGAAAGACGCCCCTTTGCCAACAACATACGCATGTGTGTACCCAGCATTCTGTTCACCTTCGCACGTTCCGTTTCTTCCTGGTATGCCGTTTTTGAAGGTATGAAGTATATGTTACATGACGCAGTAGCTGCGTGGTAATACACAAGCATCAGCAGGTCGGTGCTGCATGTCAGTGTGTTCCCCAATTGACATCTGATCTTTCGCACACACAGATCCTCAAGAAACGGCATGACATCAGACATGCCAGTGGATGCGGATTTCACTAAGAACATTAATTGAAAGATAATGCAATATGCATGTATAACCTACAACTAACTGTCGTGAAAAACAGAATGACGTCACTCACTTGTTATAATTATCTCTGTGCTTCTAACTCCAAACGAATGGGCATGAAATAGCTCTCTCTGAAACGCAATGACAAACAATTCAGGCGTTATTTTCCGTAAAACATTCCATATCTTATTGTCCAATAAACACAAATTTAACATTGTTATAGGGGTAATGCTGTTTTTCAGGGCATTGTCATTTGCAGAAGCCCTAGGCTTTCAATTAACTGGCCGACGAAGGCCTATTATAGCTAAAATGGATGAAATTTGTGTTAAAAAAGACAAGACAGTATCATAAATTTAATTGTAAGTTTACTTCAAACAACTCGCAACGGGCTGTTAACCCAACGCACCTGAAAAATTTGAAATCGTAGCCTCCCCAGTACTGTACACTATTTTCAGTTAGTATGATGTCTTGGGGTCATGAAATGGCCTGTAATACTCTCAGATTGTGGTATCAGTTTTTTTCACAGGCCATTTTATGTGGTGGGGGTCTGCGAGCATTTTCACCACATTTGGTTTGCTGCCCGACAACATCTCAAAGTTAATCATGGATAGTTTTTCTACTATCAATCTGATCGCTTTTATTTTGACTTCTGTGTATTACTAAAGTGTTGCTAAAGGATGTAGAAATTATTATGTTTTTGTTCCTGAATAAAAATCAAAATGGCCGCCATCTTGGTTTGTCGTGTTTTGCCTTTTCAGCGCTTAAAGTTAGATAAAAATTAACACCAAATGTTTCCATTTACACCCAAAACTGATACTTTTGATGTTTTTTGACACTTGTCTCCCCTAGAGTGATGGCCTGGGCACAAAAAAAGTGGTCTTGTATGGTCATATCGTTGTCATGTAATGTTTTAAAGCTTATTCTTTGAGACATGGGTATTTTAGCGTTTCTCCGACTTTTCACCGAAATGTGTGGTGGGGATCTATTTATCGAAAGTTAACATTATTTTTGCAACTAAAACAAGTTCTTTTTGTTCCACTTCTAGAGTGACGGCATGTTATTAGGAATTGTTACATATTACCAAAAATATAAAATGGCCGCCAAAATGGCCGCCATTGTAGTTTTACTACATATACATAGTGGAGGACTAAATTTGTACTGATATAATATAAACCAACCAATTCAGTTAGTGTCAAACATTTAATACAGTATTGGAATAGAACTAAATTTCAATTATATGGTCAATGAAAGCTTCACAGTCCTAAAACATTTGATGAAATAACATTATCCAAAAGTGTTTGAAAAGTAAGATGCTTCGGTGAAAGATCAAAGGCGCCGACAATACTTTATCAGACGTTCTAAGATACCTAGCGGTTAGAACAATCGAAAAAAACAACATTATCAGACAATAAAGGTATAATGTCTTTCAGTGGCATTTAGAAGTTGTACATTGATGTCCAAGATATTTTTATGGATTAAAAAATTAAAAAATTAAAAAAGAAGTTTAATCCATAAAAATATCTTGGACAATAAAGGTATAGTTTTTTGGTGACGTAACAATTGAATGACGTTATCCCGTCATTCTAGTGTGCCCCCTCGTAATCGAACAATTTTACATTACGTCACAATGTAAGCGACGTCACGATGCATGTCAGTTGTCATCGCCTCGCACGGCCTCCTACAGTAAAGTACTCCGTGACATCTCGTTTCTTGGTGGCTTCACGCAGCTAACATCACTGGTGGAAACATTACGTTTATGTTTTACGACGGTTAAAATATGTCAATTCGACTCACAAGTTTTCAGCGACACGGTAACGTTCGCAATGTTTACATTCCCACAATGCAATCGTGGAATGTCGCTTGACTACTCAGCTTCATCTGGATGTACTGATCTAAACTTACGTTGGTAGTAGAAATGCGACGTTCATATTGCCCCGTATAGTTTACGTTAATGACAGATGTAACTAAAATAATTCAGAGAAGATATTTAATCCGAACGTAAACCGTCATCAAACTGTTATCATTTGTTTTTTTCTGGTAACGTTTGTCTTAACGTAGGGGGGCAGACACATCAATAGAACAGCGCGCCAGTTAGCCCTGTGCGAGGATTCTTAATTTAGGTCACCGACACTGTCGTTTGTTTTCTGCCTTAAATTAATCGTAATTATCCTTAGAAACAATTAAATTCGGCATCTTAGAAAAGAAATACAGTTCGCTCTACCACCATGTTTAGTGTAATAAAGTACACTTTCGCCCTGAACAATTATACACTCGGACGCAAGCGTCCTCGTACTTTAACTATAATAGTTCAGGGCGAAAGTGTGTTTAATTACACTATACATGGTGGTAGAGCGAACTGTATTTCTTAAATAATGTGCATTTTCTGCATTACGTCACAATGTATCGCTGCGCCATTCTGGTCTGCCCCCTCGTAATCGAACAATTTTGCATTACGTCACAATGTAAGCGACGTCACGATGCATGTCAGTTGTTATCGCCTCTTACAGCCTCCTACAGTAAACTACTCCGTAGCATCCCGTTTCTTGATCTGCAGTTGCTTCACACAGCTAACATCACTGGTGGAAACATTACGTTTATGTTTTCCGACGATTAAAATGTCTCAATTCGACTCACGAGTTTTCGGCGACACGGTAACGTTTTTCACACCAAACGTTCGCAATGTTTACATTCCCACAATGCAATCGTGGAATGTCGCTTGACTGCTCAGCTTCATCTGGATGTACTGATCTAAACTTACGTTGGTAGTAGAAATAATAATAATAATAATAATAATGTGTCCATTTATATAGCGCCAAACTCCACACTAGGTATGCTCATAGCGCTAACAATCAAGGCCATTATTACCCCGGATAACCCAAGCTGCCTGTTAGGCGCTAGAAGGTTATAGTCATATGACTTTTTTTCCACCGGGTACCCATATTCCTGCTGGGTGAACAGAGGCAATTTTGAACAAACTCACTTGCCTAAGGTGAGACCACATGTATCACATGTGCTTCGTTGTGGGGCAGGACTCAAGTCCTAGAAACTCTCAGGAGTCAAGCTGCCAAACACGGTCACCCATCCAAGGACTCTCCGAGCTCGACGCTGCTTAACTTCACCGATTTGTAAGCACAGGACCACGCGCCAGAAATGCGACGTTCATATTGCCCCATATGTTTTACGTTAATCACAGATGTAATTCAAATAATTTAGAGAAGATATTTAATCCGAACGTAAACCGTCATCAAACTGTTTAGCATTTGTTTTTTCTGATAACGTTTGTCTTACGTAGGGGGGGCAGACACATCAATAGAACAGTGCGCCAGTTAGCCCTGTGCGAGGATTCTTAATTAGGTCACCGACACTGTCGTTTGTACTCTCGGTGCCTTTGATCTTTCACCGAGGCATCTTAGAATCGTAATTATCCTCAGAAAATATTAAATTTGGCCTCTAAGAAAAGAAATACAGTTCGCGTTACCACCATGTACGGTGTAATAAAGCACACTTTCGCACTTTCGCCCCTGCTTTAACTATAATAGTGGGCTCGTTTACACTATACATGTTGGTAGAGCAAACTGTAGTTCTTTTCTAAGAGGCCAAATGGTGGTAGAGCGAACTGTATTTCTTAAATCATTATCATTTGCAGCGGCCCGCTCGTTTCTGATAACTAGAGGGCGGTTTCATGATCCACTGACCCGGTCAGGTTGTCACCATAGCACTATTTTTCATATGCCATAAAAAATCACAAAGGTAAGGTTATATATAACCAATTTTACGGCATTTACCACAAAAATACCTTTGGCGGCAAACGCTTAGTTAATCCAGGGAGACTCTGTTGTAGAGTATCCCTGGTTAATCAGACTCATTCAGCATAAAATCATTTCCCAACTTCAGCGTAAGCCTGTCTTGAACAATCTGAACGATTCCGTGGACTATTTCATAGGCGGATCCAGGACATTTCAAAGGGGGTTTGAGGGGACTCAACCCTAAAAGTACTTGAAACTGTACTAATTACTAAGAAAGTGTATTCCCAAATATAACACATGTTCTCTTCAAAAGTTTAGATTCACTTCAAACACTTGCATTATGTTATGTATATATATATTATGTTATGTTATGTATATATATACATATATATATATATGGTTACATCGAAGATTGATTTCTCCACTAACTTTGGGGAACCAACAGCAAACTTTATGCGGATGAATTGCACGAGGATCATGCATCAAATTGCTAAAAAAAAGTATGTGCAAAATATCGTGCATGTGAACAGCTGCGTTGTGGTGTAAGACATCAATTCATGTGTAAACAATACCTTTAAACAGTATGGAATATTTTGCAAAATTTAGTTTAGAACAGTTGCCTGGAGTAAGTGGCTATATTTACACCAGTGAGTCTAAACTTTTAATGAGAAGTATATATATTTGCCATAACAACAACTTCATTGCCGTTTGAATGTTTCTCCAATTATAGTTTCGACGCACGATCATCTTTCGTTTTCTTCACACACCGTCTTTTGGTGACAGCCATTCCAACTTTTGCATCCTACAAGGAAGCGTCATGGCGTACCAATCTGTCTTATGCTACCTTTTCGGCTCACTGATTCGTTTGTGGCTATTCAGAACGTCTTTACCCAAGTGGTTGTCGTCGCGAAATGAAGTTGTTACACCTCTTACATCGTGGGAACGAGGTAGAACAAATGTCATTCACTTGTCCGCTACTGCAGTATGCAGGCATGATTTGGAAATCTTTTTAGGGGATAATTGGGAACGTATACCGGTGGTTATATAGCAGCAAATTTAGATATATAACGTTAAATTTGCGACTATATAACCACCGGTATACGCCCCCAATTCGTCAAACACAGTTCAGTTATCTCCATTCTAATTCAACTCGTTTTACGCTGGTTTTTCGTGAAAGAAATTCAATATTTAAGTAGCTATGCTCAACGGTTTTTCTAAACATGTGATATCATTATAAGAAAAATGTCATTATCTCATATGAACCTTAACTTAGAACACTATATTTTTTATTGATTTTTATTGTCCATATATCTCATGTGAAAAATCCTACAAAAATGGCACCGTCAGGACCTCGAGAAACAAACAAAACAGAAAAAGTGACAACCGTACATAAAATATTCACTTTTGGTGGAAAAAATGAAATCTTTAAATCACAAATGTGTCCTTATCATTGCTGATCGGTGGGAACAAAATTTAAGGTCAAGGGTGTTCAATGTGATTTTATAAATAGAAAAATAGTGGAGAAAATTAGCCGGAAATGGATGAAATTCTCCCAAAACATGCATTAATGTCTTTGCACTCAGTATGTCAACCACAAATTCAAAGGAGAAGTGTTAAAGGAACTAAGTGGAAGATATGTTTGTATTGAATAGTTGCATATGCAGTGAATGAGAGTACAAGTTTCCTGTCTTGTGTAATATGTTGTAATATGTTGCCCTACTTGATGATAAATCTTTGATTTAGGGAATGTATAACGATTTTGATGATCATTTATTCAGTGAAAAATATGTGTAATATCCCACCAGTATGTAATACCTTGTCTGTCAGTCTGTCTGTCCTGTCCATCCGTCTGTAATTCATTTCGTTTCCGGAGCAGAACTTGAAAACTGTTCATTAATTCTTTCTGAAACTTTGTATGCATCAGCCAAGTACTGAAGTGGTGCCTTTTGATATTTTCAGAATACTAAAATTTTATTTCAATGGCTAGATATAGAATTGATTCCGGGTAAGGGTTTGTTTATGGATCAGAAAAATGATCTTAGGATTTATGTGGAACTGGAGGGATAGTCATCTTTTGATGATTTTTGTTACCACATTGATATACAATAAACCAGACTTGACTTGACTTGACTTGATACAATAACTACGCTTAAAACAAATATAAGATATATTTACAAATTTACTAAATATTAACTCATGTGAAATTAAATGATATGGTAGAATTACCAAGACAGACAGGCCATGGGCTCTTAATAGACAAAGGCTGATCATTATTTATTTTGCATTCAGATTTTCCCAATTTGTTTCATTTGCAAATTGTCTAATTTTTCTAGACTGAACGACCCTTTCTCATTGAAAAGCTACAAAAAACTTTTACAAAATCACACAGATTAGCATTAGCAAGGGGGGGTTTAGATTTCAAAGGGAGGTAACTCGATCATGAAATTGATAAAAATGCAGACCGCATGTGAAAGTCACCCATTTTGAATTTGTTTTAAAATGCCTTTGTCACTTGAAAAAAAATATTTCAAGGTATGATTTATTAAGTATATACTTTTTTCTTTAAAATAAGAAAGTTTCATTAGTGTAATAAGACATTTTCCTCACAAAATCAAATTTTCAAAAACATATTTCATCATAACAAAACTATTAAACCAAGTCTAGCTCTAAATATAGTTATTACACATCTGCCATTTACCACAGCCTGTAGTGCACATACTATTTCCCATCTTTGTAGAAGGGATTTGCTTCAAATCAACGTAAACTGAGGGTACCCTCATGACCTGGGTTTCAGCCCACACTGACTGAGGTCAGGATGAGTTATCCGCCCTTAGCTTGAGCATTGCTAATTTAAGGCCAAATAAAAAGAATGTTGTGGTTCCAATTACACCTCTTTAAAATTACGATAGGTAGGATTTTTTTTTCACATATGTTTTTAGAAGTAAAGTTCAAACTAATAACACATCAATGTGTAATTGGTTATTTAATCAAGCTTGCAGCCATCATGTCGACTTTCTCTATCAGAATGACCGATGTCTGTCGGTGCCGAGAAAAAACAATGGTATCTGAAAGCTTGTTTTATTCATACCGCTTAAAAAAAATAGGGTCGGCACCAAAATTCAAGGGTCGGTCGGGTAATCGTCTAAACCAGGTCAAAGTTCCTCTAGGTCAAAGATTAATCATATCACTCCTTGAACTTACACCATCGCCAGAAAAAGTAGTTCCCTTTTCAAACTTCAACACGTTTGTTATGTGCACACTGACTAAATCTGACAATAATGAGTAAATCATAGTATTATAGCTAAAATGGACGGAATTGTCATGAAATCGCCCTCTAGTTATCAGAAATGAGGGGCCAATCCGCAAATGATAATGGCCCGCTGATTCCTCAATGATGGGCCATTATCAGTTCTGTTGTCAAATGACGTCACAGCAGGTGCCATGATGACGTCATAAATCTTGTTTCATGATCTAACAGTGTTGGTTCAACAACCCGTTGCGAGTAATTTTTTGAACTTACAATTATATTTATGATAGTTAATTGATACTGTTTTGTCTTTTTTAACACAAATTCCATCCATTTTAGCTGGATAGGGGAGTTAACTGACCTGGGGCTTCTGCAAATGACAATGCCCTGAGAAACAGCGTTACCCCAATAGCGTAGGGATACATTCAAAGGTTTTGGTGAATCGGTTTTCAAATTGCGACCATATTTGCTGATTAAACGGTCAGAAATTGATAGCATTGACCAATCAGAACTCATGTTACATACTAAATTGAATTAGAATCGCCAATAGTAATAGACTCAAGAGACACATCGTTACACAAATGTTTTGTGTAACCCACAGGTCGTGAATAGCTTATAAATTTGATTTTAGGAAATAGCTTGTAATTACCAATTCTGGGATAAACAATAATGCATTTTCTCAAGATCCAGAGCTGTGAAAATACAAAAAAGGACCATGTAGAATCTAGGTTTAGGAATTCTCTTGTCTTATGGTATTGGAGAGTATTGCTTACAGTCACAAGTCGTTAGAGATATGTTACCTGACTAGGATATTGTTAGGTTTCTTCATAAAATGTTGATTGTCAGAATATTTGCAAATATATTCAGACAAACAAATAAAGGATCACAGGAAAATTCAAGTGTTCCTTTAAAATTTTCCAATTTTCACCACCACAGCACTATTCAAAGCTGATGATGAAAACTGGAAAATATTAAAGGAATGCTTGAATTTTCCTGCGATCCTCTATTTGTTTCTCTCACCCTCAGTATATGTTATTTTTTCCTGTATTTTGTTTTGCCTTTGGCAACCATTGATGTCAGTGTATGGTCACTTGATGTTTGGTTACGTTCCCCGTTGACCAGGAGAAGGTATTCATATTCTGCAGCAGTTGAGAAAAACAGTGACAGAAATTGCAAAATCCACTTCTTACTGATAAACAATGTGGTTAAGGAGTCATTTATTATTTACTTATTTAGCAGTGACTGCATCCTGAACAAAGTGTAAGTAAGAGGTTTGTTTTCTCTTTTGAATTGTAGCACACGTGCAGCCGTTGTTTGTTGTTGATGATTTTAATTTTTACAATTCTATTTGTTAGTGGCAAGTGATATAACACCAGCAAAATGGAAATGACTTGCGTAACAGTACTCCTAGTGTCAGTGAGTGTACTTGTGTATTTTGTTTTACTTACATACACAATAGTAAGTGAGGTATGATACTGATACTGTTTCAGTTCAGGAAGGAATGGCTTTACAAGAAACATATATTTCCCCATACACAGGAGATATTTTTCATGAGGTAAGTGCACAAAAATAATTTTCATGCAAACCATTCTTATAATATCTTTTGATATGATTGACACTACTGGACCAAAGACCTATCTGACTAAATCTAGTAATCTGGCCAGTCATTCCATCTTTTTTCAAACCACTGTACCACAACCAATGAACAAAGAGAAGCAGCATATGTGGAGTGAGTGAGTTTAGTTTTATGCTGCACTCAGCAATATTCCAGCTGTATGGCAGTCTGTAATTAATTGAGTCTGGCATCGATCTACACAACTGGGATATGATGACGTGTGTCAACCAAATCAGCAAGCCTGACTACCCGGTGCCGTTAGTTGCCTCTTACGACAAGCATGGGTTATTGAAGATCAATTCTAACCCGGACCTTCACGGGTCCAGAGTATGAGGAACATGATTAAGTGGTGTCTTTCAGACATACATATGATTTGCTAATTTTATACCATTTCCATATGTTACTGTTGGCGAAGCTGTCATCAGCTGGCTATAACACTGTTCTATCATTTTTCATCTCTTATTACCTTCTAACACATTCTCCTTGACATTACAGTTCACATCCTATATTTCATGAAATATACAAAGATAGTAGACCTATCAGGATATCTGGTCTGACTAGGCATCCCAGCATCCTTGCAGGGAGAACTCTGTAACTGTTTGGATTTTGCCTATCTGAGAGTAAGAGTTGGTTAATAAAACTACTGTTATATTTATTATTTTTCCGGAGTTACCTCCCTTACTCCTCCATGCTTCAATTTTGTACATAACAATATATTACAAAGTCAGGACCCTTTCTCCATGCTTTTCAGCAAGCTGCATACTGCATATAATTGGGTCGTGTTTTCACAGAAATTAATGAAAAAAGTTTGCACGCTTATCTCAGAGAATCCTTGACACGGCTGAGTTACGGAAATTAGTGCCATAGTTCTTATTTTGGGGAGTTATGGTGGTTGTCCTCTCATTCTTTATGCTTTGCATGTTGTGCATGCTGATCTTTATGAAATGCTTTGGACAATGTTGGATGTAAATGTAATTTTCTTTCCAACATAAATACAAAATACTGTGTGTTTGTTGAAATGGGGCCTCAATGTATGTAACTGATGAGGTTGCAGGTTGCCATTAAGGAAGTTTCAAGCATATTATTGTTTCATGTGTAGATATGGATATATTCAGATTTGAAGTTTAAACAATTTTAAATGAGTTTGCTAAAACCTATGCATACTGGGTGTAATGCAAATGAAGTATGCTCAACAAATTTAGAAACTTATGACCCACTTTATTGGTATAAACTGTAATAGGCAATAACATGTCGGATGTTTGAACATGGTCTTGGCCACTAATATGAACATTTGGTCATAAGCACAGACCATCAGAAATCAATTGTGCAACCCAGACATCCTGACAAGATCTAATAAGCTTGACGCTTCCCATAAAGCCCCAAACCAGACTTGGCAGGTTAAACCAGAGGCAGTGGAACAGGATTGACCTTATGTTTGGAATAATATTAGATGGTGGCAAAGAGCTAGGTTGCACCAGAACTACTCTTTCCTCTATTATAAATCTTAAAGTTCCTTTAGTTCTCTATTATAAATCTTAAAGTTCCTTTAGTATAAAGCCCTATAGTCTTTGTGAAGTATTTTGGCATACTGCAATACCATACAGACAGTGCAGACACTTAATAGGTTTCAGCTATAAAAGGCTTCAGTTTTTGGTTTTGGTGTTAGATCATTACAAGAAAGTTATTCTGGGCTTGATATGATCGTTTTATCTTTCTTCATAGAATTTAATACTTACACCACATCTGTCATGCGGTTGACAAATGTTACAGTATACATGTGTTTCTATATACATTAGTCAATCATGATTCTGTTTCCAATTGCCTGAGAAACTGTAAGTTTTTGTTTTCTTGTGCTTGGTTGACTGTTTCATCACTGTCATGAGTTCTTTAGTTGACAATTTATCAGTAATTGTGCTTCTATAAATAACTACATTATCAAGGTCACACACAGTAGGGCTAGCATGTTTTGTATTGGACAGTTCATAAACTGTTTCCTTGATAGGGCTGTCAGTGTAAGATTTCACACTCCTCACACATTTGACAAAGAATGTCTATTTTGACAGTTGTTTCCCTGCTTGCCATTCATGGAATATTTGTAAACAATAATGCTATCTTTCAAATATGACAGATGTGGTTAGCATCTAACTTATCTGGGTAAGCTGTCACACAAATAAGTGACGTAGTATGATGAAACATAAGTAATCCTAGTGAACATACACATTCTTCAATGACATAGAGCAAGAGAACCAATGGCAACACTAACTTCCTGTTTATGTGGCCTACACATCGTCTTCAGACAGCTGTATGTTAAAACAGTTTAAATTTTTAAAGAATAAAATAATATTTCTGGATAAATTAACAGAGTGGATATCTTGATAATATTATCAAGCGCGTGTTTACATTGCAACCTATATATGACCATTAAAGGATGTGAAGTCCGGCTGGCAAAGATTACCCAGTACTTACCACATTGTGTCAACATTGTTGGAAACATTCTTCCTACATGCATTCAACCAGCTGACAACTTAAGTGTCACATGTGTTTTATTTGCAGACACCCCTCCTTCTCCGGTTGCTCCAGTATGTGGCCAAGGTGCCACAGATGACAGATATTCTCTTTGTTGTGAGTTGGAACAAATGTTTTGCATGAACAGTTGATATATCATTTGGATTCTTTCAACAGCAAAATTATCTTACAATAAGTGGAACTGAAGGAACTAAGAACTTTTCACAGTCAGTTAAGTCTTTTCATTGATTGTTTGCTTGATTGACAAGCTTTCATCTAAGTGTTTGCTAGTTTTTTAAGTCATGTCACAATCTGCTCCATGATGGCTGAAACTAGGTATATGTACATAATGTAGTGTATATTCATAATTTTTCCTTAACCTGACTCTTACCAATTGCTTATCTCATCACTCTCCCACATTGTAGTGGGTTCCCTAAGGACAAAAGAACATACCGGTAAGCAAAACCTTTTCTCCATGCAGTGGCATGGGAGACACATGGCCAATCCGGTTGACTGGTCACTCTCTCCATTTTTGCTCAGCAGAATAGTAGGGGAATATTTTTTCAGTGATTCAGTCTGAGGCATCCAGCTCAGCCACCAACCTTCACAGAGCTAACACCTTTTTATACAGCTGACAGACCATAGCGCAGCCTCAGAACTTTATACAGTCTATGTTCTTCACGCAGCGGAATACACAGCCTTCATAGTTGTTACACAACAAGTACTTCTAGCTATAGGTATACTGCAACAACATGGGATCAGTTGCCGGCACACAGTCTACAACAGCAATGTCACTGTATGATGAGATTTTTCAGAGTTCATGTTACCCGAATTCCTTTTATCTAGTTGAAACTAAAGATGTTTTTTAGCCATCAGAAGAAGAAGAGTCATCACAATCTGAGGATTGTCAATCTTGTTTTCAAAAACCTGTTTTTTCTTGTCTGACCACCCGCTGCAGGGCCCAGCGGAACCCCACAGCCAAGAGTAGGTAATTCTAACCTTCAACCTCGAAACTGTCGTTCACATGGTGAAGACGTGCGTGCTGTCTTGTCAACTTTTTCAAGTTGAATTCCTAGTAAACAAAGATAAAGATGAGTGAAAAAGAAGCAGGCACTGTATGAATGGTTCTTATCTATTTGCATGGGCGATACATGGAATGCGTTTCGAACAATTTTCATAATTCAATGTTGTAACTTTTCCGTTGCCTCGCCACTTCAAACCATGTGTTTGCAAGATGGCAGACGGGATGGCCTACTTACACTTTTCTATGTGCGTTTTCACTTGGAAGGCTTCTACGCTTTAGATTAGGGATTCTTGTTGCGTGTATTGTAATTACATCGCATTACATATATATATAATTTTCGCATCAAGCTGGTGCTTTTTGTGGTTGATGATATCACTTGTCATCTGTCTCTTCGCCACTTCAAACTATGTGTTTGCAAGGCAGTAGGGTTGGCCTACTTTCCCTTTTTCTATGTGGGTTTTCACTTGAAAGGCTTCAACACCTTCTAGTTTTCATTGAAAGGCTTGGTAGATTAGGGATTGGTGTCGCGTGCATTATAATTACATCACATTACATGTATATATATAATTATTTGTGACATGTTGTTGTGTCTGGCTGGTGCTTTTTGTGACTGACGATGTCATGCTTCATCCGTCGCCTCGCCACTTCAAACTATGTGTTTACAAGGCAGGTGGGTTGGCCTACTCTCCGTTTTTCTATGCCTTTTCGCTTGAAAGGCTTCTACGCCTTAGATTAGGGATTGGTGTCGCGTGTATTATAATTACATCGCATTACATGTATACAGTCAAGTCTCCTTAATCCGACTCCCGTGGTGGAACTGCATCAGGTCCTCCCCAAGGCCTTAATTTTCCAGAACAAAGAAAACAATATTATTTTATACATATTCTTACACTAAATGTCCCACCCAAGTATCCCCACTCACCCTTAAGCATATATTTTGGACAAATATATGTGAAAGTGGAGTCGCATGCTTTCATAGTGCCTGTGTGTGACAAGGGTGTGATCGGATGAGATGTTTTTCTGTTTTGAGGAAGTTTCCTCAAGATTTCAGGAGAATGTTGAGTCAGGTTAAGTATAAAATGATATGTTTACTCTAAAAATATACATCATTTGCAGTTACTGGATGTACTCATCGGTATGGTTCTCTCCAGAATTGCCAAAGAATTTGGACGGTATATGGTAAGATTGTTGTTACATCAAGGGTGGCTGTCTTTGACTTGTCTTTTCTCATAAAGCTGGCACTAAAGTACAGTTTGCGCAGATCGATGCTCATGCTGTTGATCACTGGATTGTCTGGTCCAGATTCGATTATTTACAGACCGCCGCCATATAGCTGGAATATTGCTGAGTGTGGCATAAAACTAAACTCATTCACTCACTCACTAAAGTACTGTTGTACACAGTTATATCTACAATTGATATATACAGTTGATATGTGAAAGTGTGAAATATCTGTTAAACTAAGTTCAGCCTAACTACAGTCTCTGTGGTAAGGAGATAGGAAACGTGAAAAAAAGGACTTTACTGAGGAGAGATTAGTGCAAAAATGAGCAATGCGTTCCCAAGCGAATTGTTTGGAATAGACCATGGCTTTATGCAAATTAGTGTGCGCTGATCTTGTATTACAAAGGACACTTTTTGATGCCCATTTTGAAATTAGACTTAGCTTCATTATAAATGATAGCTGACGTAAAACATAAGAACTTTAATGCTGAAACTATTAATGATGTAGCTACCATGGAGTCTCTCTATAAAAACAAACAGGGAGAAGGGGTAGTCTCAAAACCAAAACCAGGACGGATGTTGCAGATGGTGGTTGGGGCGGGCTGGGTAGAGAGATATCAGCTAAGATAAGACAATCCTTTAGGGGAATTAAACTAGGGAAGTAAACGGCATGTCATAACAATTTACAAATAATATCCAGTCCTGTCGATCTTCGAGTGTTCATACCACCTATATATTTTGAGACATTTGATACGATTTAAGCTTTCCTATGGGTATCATACTCTTTCACATACACCTTATGAAAGAAAGACACACAAGAAGTTGATCAATAGATGAGACACATTTAACACACATGAAAAAGCATAGATATATTTGAGATGGCCCCTTGTGCCTGTCGGCAGCACATGCATTTCATTCCAGGTGAGTCGACAACGGTCAATTGTCCTACCTGCCTGAGGGACCTAATTGCCATCTATAGTCTGATCTATTGTTTTCAGCAGCTATTCGTATTTTTGCCCGATTTTACGTGTAAACATGTTTTTCTGGTTATCCTATTAGTATCCCACTGAATGCCAAGTTAGGTCGAAGTGGGTTATTTCGACATATGCTATTTTAGGGATACAGAGTAACAGCCTAAAAACAGTTGTTTTTTCTTACAGTACTTAGCTGTGGTACATGTTGCACAAGCTATGGAGGTTTCATGCCACACTTACTGTACAGATGTTAGTGCTGCATATGTCACACTGGGTAAACTTCTGTAGTGCTACATGTCACACTGGTCAAAAAGGTATAGTGTTACATGTCACACTGGTCATAAAGGTGCAGTGCTTCATGTCATACTGGTCATACATGTGTAGTGCATGTCACACTGGTCATACAGGTGTAGTGCATGTCTCACTGGTCATACAGGTGTAGTGCATGTCACACTGGTCATACAGGTGTAGTGCATGTCACACTGGTCATACAGGTGTAGTGCATGTCACACTGGTCATACATGTGTAGTGCATGTCACACTGGTCATACAGGTGTAGTGCATGTCACACTGGTCATACAGGTGTAGTGCATGTCACACTGGTCATACAGGTGTAGTGCATGTCACACTGGTCATACAGGTGTAGTGCATGTCACACTGGTCATACAGGTGTAGTGCATGTCACACTGGTCATACAGGTGTAGATAGGCCTTATTGGTCATACAGGTGTAGTGTGACATGTCATACTGGTCATACACATGTAGTGCATGTCATACAGGTGTAGTGCATGTCACACTGGTCATACAGGTGTAGACATGACATATTGGTCATACAGGTGTAGTGCCACATGCCATACTGGTCATACAGCCGTAGTGCTACATGTCATACTGGTCATATAGGTGGAGTGCTACATGTCATACTGTCATACAGGTGTAGTGCTACATGTCATACTGGTTATACAGGTGTGCTACTTGTCATACTGGTCATACAGGTGTAGTGCTACATGTGCTACTATTGATACATATGAACGAATTGAGATTTGTTTTTCTTGGATGATCTCTTCCACTGACAACATGTCATGCTAGAGCTCTTGCTTCAGCTGGAAAGACAAGCCCAGGGTGTATCCAGCTATGCAGCCAATGTTGAGAAGCTAATTCTTCGAGGCAGTGATCTCAGATGGTTGCAGACATATGTTCTGGTGGCGTGAGTATGTTTCCTTGTTAGACGTTAAATCATGTAAGTTGTTTTAAATTGATCTCTTTGCAAACAGTATACAACATTATTTCTTGCTGTGATTACAAGACAGTTTCGAAGCATTCACTTCTCTCCTAGCATGCTCTTGTGTTAATGCATCATCGTTTCTTTCTTAGCCCAAAGTGACGGGACATGTCAGCTATGCTATTGAGTTATGTTTTAGATTCTCCATGTTTGTCACTTGGGTTTTCTTATGGGAGTCCACAGGGTCCACATAGTCTTTGTCCTAATAGCTAGTTTCACTGTTTCATGGATCAGTGAGTGCTAAGTGTTTAACTCATTAAGCCCGAGAGCCCCATCACTACTCAACACCTGAAAGCCCTCGCTGATTGCCCACTCTCTGTGCCGAGACTAATTAGTGCTAGTCACACCTGATTTCCCTGGCAGGTTTCGGGGATCACAGGAAACTGTCTAGTCGTACAAACAAGTCCTGATTGTTTAATTGTGTCGTAAAGATAGATATATGTTGAAAGAAATCAGGTGTGAATACATGTCGTGTATTGCAAGCTTTATGTAATTTTATTGCAAGTTTCTCTTGTAGACCTTTTGTCGGCTTGTACATTTATATTTTATCACAATATGCATACACATGTATTCTTTGTATGTAACAGCTGAGACACACGTTAACAAATTCTCTCTCTTATATCATTGTGTGAGGTTTAAATTTACAAAACATCTATGACAATGACATACTGTAAAGAAGAATTTACTTTCATACTTTATAATCTTTGACGAAAATAGCGGTTTTGACGATACATTTCTAGTGTTTACGAATTATTTTAATGAAAGTACTATAACGCTAGTCTGTGACTAGCACAAAGCACATTCATAGCATTGCACTTTATTTCATACAGATTTAATGCAGAAAACATACGTGACCATACAAACATACATATACAAAATGTATACTACATATTCCTTGCCTAGACATAAAACAAAGAGTCACGTGATAGGGCATCATCAAATTTCCCGAATAGAACGTTCGGTATCTCAACTGTTCAATGTAGTGGCTGGTCATATGTTATCTGCGACCAATCGTATCATGAGATACCTGTCACAGAGGAAAGGACAGGTGACGGGGCGTGGGCGAAATTTCTGAAGAGCACGTTTGGTCACTCAGCAGCTTGGATAGAGATTGGTTATTGGCTATATCGATGATTGATATGCTGGGTGTCGGCTTTATCAACTCAAGCTATCATGTAACAGTTTGTGTATTGTAAACATACACACTGGTAACGATGTATGAAATACGCACATAAGACAAATAGGAGTAGATAGTCACTTTGGCGAGTTTATTTGTCCTCATTTTAGTGTTTTTCGATAAGTAAAACAAAGCGATTGAAATCCAACTACTGAGTAGAGGTAGTATTTATTTTCATATACATTTTATGCACACAACTAGTACATAAAACATAATGGTTTGCTGTACATGTAAATATGATCTTCACCTTGATACGAATGACTATCAAAACTAGAGTACACGCATTACAGAATTCACGAGGTGACACTATACTGAATTATTATAGTGTATAAACTTGCAGTTGACACCCCACCCCAATATTTATGAAGGTGGGCGTGCCTATGTCTTTACTGAATGCAAACGAGGTTCATAAGATTACAGATGTGCATGCATGTATAAACATCACAGAGAGGGCGTGACTCCATAAAGCAAGATGTCCAATGATATAACAAGCATCTGTTTATTTTACACTTGTCACGGGACAAACCTTTCAACAAGGACGTAACTACATATGCATTCTACCGAGGCTGTTATTTCAAGGTCGAAAGAGGCTTTCAATTATCTCATTACTGTAAACTGCTTGAATGATTATACGCATGTGTATCGATACCGTAACTGATATACTATCCAGCTTTTATTGACGATGGATCAATAGAGACTGAGTTGATTGATACACGTGATAATTGCACCGGATTTGATAATTACACAGATCAAATACAAACGTTTTACAGAATGCTCATTTAAATTGCATAGAAAACTGACAATTCAAATCAACATGAAACTTTCAACAGCTTGAACAGAAATGCTTGAAACACCTTTGTATGGCTTACATGTAATAACTTATGATATTACTTCTGTCCATGTGTGACAATGTTTTGAATTACCAACTTACTGTCTTTTGTAACAAGCGTAGTTAAAGATTTCAGTGTTGTATAACAATAACACTGACATGTATATATGTATTTGATGCAAAGGAGCGACTTATCACTTTATATTCGCTTAGGTAACATTACAAACTTTAGATTATGGAAAACAACTAGTTACAATTCAGTAAACTTCAAATTAGTAAGTTCAATTATGTTTAATCTATTCGAGCTTGGATGTATAATTACTTGTGTTTATACATTATGTTTCAGTATATGAAACATGACATCGTAATGATGCCTAAAAAGTAAATTCAAACTATTCTATTGTATTTGAATTCTTTGTATAGGTAGTTGAAGGAAATATAATTTTTAGTAACCTCTAAACCATTACATCTAATTCAATCAAGGTGCATACGAAGTATTTTAGTATCCATTCCCAAGGAAGAGTACCAGGCTCTTACCTCTGTAAAAACATCATAATCCCCTTTCTCGCCGACATGCGTTCATTTGCTAAACGCTGTACAAGCCTATGATAATGATTAGCAATTGTTATCAAAACACTTTAAATACTTCTTCTGATTGATACTAAAGGTGGGATCTCTCGTAAGAAAAGCTAACATTTGCTCAGTACTGCTAAATTGGTTGAAATAATAGGTACAGTGCGATTTTTAAAAGTACAACACACATGTGCGTCTCTCGCTGAATAAGAGGTGCTTTCTGTTGACGACTGTATGTGGCTCTCGCTGTGAGAAACTGCTAATTACCTGCCCCATAAACACGTCACTCGCTGTGAGGAGCTGATTAATTTGCCCCATATATGCGTCTCTCGGCCTTAATGAGTTAAACTAGCCTGGCAATCTCGTTGCTGAATACCTAGTCAGATTAACCACTCCATAAGGCATGTCACCAACTTCCCTGTGGGCACCTCACAATCCCGCAGTTACCTTTTCTTTTGGTATACTCAGGCTGCTGCCCTACCGAAACATTCATTGAGTCTACTATCCCCACTTCTGCTTCCTAAGAAATAACATTGCCTTGGTTCTTGTTGTAAGCCATGGATGCATACAGACAGGCTACAGGTTGGGGTCTTCAGGCATCATCTCACCAGATGATGCCTTCTCTCTAGGTGGGACAATAGCTGGCATAGCATCTGTAGATGCTGCCTCTTCAGACACTGCATCAGCTGCACAAGTTGCAGTTTCACAGTTACCAGCTGTTGATGACAGGCTACCTCCCTATGTACCAATAGCCTTAATCAATCATCTCCAGCTTGGTTCCATCCACACTAGGCACTGCCTCTCCAGGCACTTTCAGCATCAAAATCTCGTTATCATTGGGTGTTGAGTACAGGGATGCAAGATGGTACCCTAACGCTCCTCCAGTAGTAGTTGACTGGATATATGCTGCCACCAGTCATCCTTCCACGACACTCCTGTCAGCAGTCACCTATTCTTTTGGCATAACTGGGAACAGTTGTTCCACACCCACTGGTGAAACCTTATTAGCAGTTGGCAGTTCCGAGGGAGCTAACTCCAATTTAGTCTAACAACAGTATGCTGTTTAGTTTCGTATCCAGGAAAAATCATGGCACAGAGAAAGTGATAAACTGTGTCATCCGTTACTTCTTTCATCATTGAAACTATACACAGTATTCTATTTAGCGAAGAATTTCCATCTGTATGAGAGTCATTCTCAAAATTTGTGCATATTTATGTTTTATGTTTGCACCCGACAAACTTAAGTCAAAATCAATAATTTTTTATGGTAACCAATTTATTTCAGTTTATTCTACTCTTTACAGTAACAAAATTGGGAAAAAAATATTTTTGTATTTATTTGAAACCACCCAAACCACCCAATTTTACTCAATTTTCATGTGTCACAACTCCAGTGGCCGATGTGAATTTGATTTTTTCGGTCTGTTTCATGTTTTTCAAAAGAAACCTTTTAACATATCATAATTAATGATGTTACAGCTACATGCTTGGCGTGGTTTGGCCTTTTTTGTATAGAAAAACATTTTGTATAAAAAGGTCAAACTTTGTCACAAGGTTTGATGTCACTACCGTTCCATTCCCCAATGCAATAATAATTACTACCTGTACTGTTTTCTAATTCTACTTCATGTCTGCAAGCAATGGCTGTGAGGAAACAGGGCTGTCAAACACTGACCCCCAAAAAATATTTGTCTGAATGTTTTGGCGAAAAATGATTGCACAAAATGATATCTGAGAATTTTGCATGTCCTAACCGTTATGGTAGTTACCGCTGAAACCAGTTAATTTTGTGGAGCCAAACAATGCCAAGTACCTTAGACAGTAGGGGAAATCATTTGAAAACATGTACTCAGTAAACTTTGGGAGACCAGTTATTGTTTTAAAACTAATATTGTTATTGGCTCTCACTACCGTTACGGTCACTGCCGTTATCATGGGTTTTGATACAGTAGGGACAGATTTTGTGACGGCAGTGACATTTTTCTAGTTTAATGCTGTTTGTGTATCTAAATTTTCAATTCAAAGATATCAAATGTTTTGGAATCTTATTTAACATAAAACTTTTGTATCAAATGAATAAAATCAGTAAGCATATAAGTATGATTTTATTGTTACGGTAAGGACAGGGTAGTGTAACGACTGTGACAAAGAATAACACGACTGTGATAGGGCCATTACAGTAGTGACATTATATACCGTCACAATGTCACTGCTGTAACATGCAGTCTTTACCTGTTTTTCACAGGGGCGGTGAGGTAGCCTAGTGGTTAAAGGTCACATGCAACGTAAAACACAACTTTGCAGATTCTGATACCTTTCGTTATGGATTTACAGGTACAAATTATC